CCCTACAACTCCGTCTTAAGTACTTTTTGGATGAAGACCATTTCCCTGAGTTATCTTAATTCCACTCACGTTGTTATCTTACTAAATAAGAGTTCAGGGTTATGCGTTCTGACTTGTTTCTACAGTGTCCTCATTGACGGGGCTCCACAAAATGTCTTGCAAAGGTATTCTTACAGGACATAAATTAATTTAATATGCCTTTGGAGGTAAAAGCAACAGCACTATTATTTTCTTGACAGTCTCAAACTGACAGGGAAAAATTCCAGAGGGGAAAAAAAATTACACTTGATGGCACCTCGATTATACAGGTAGGATTTCTGGAATGAGACTTACATGGCATCAGAGATTCAGTTAGGTCTGCAAATCCCAATATATTCCATTTGATGAATCATCAAGGAAAGCTCCACAAATGAGGGCAGTTCATATTAAATTCAAAAAGTACATTACTCACCAGATTGTGCTTTATAAGCTCCTTGCCAAACTCAAAAGACGATGAGGCACTGTCCATCAAGTTCTTGAGCTCTGCCTGGAATTACATACATTCCAAAACATTAACACAAAACCAAAAAAGCACACAAGCATAAATGGAGTTTCATATGAGCCCCAAAGCTGATAGAAAGACATCTCCAGCATTGCTGGGTCACTGGAAGATTTTTGCCTTCCTAATTCTATGTGATGATTTCAGCAATTGAATGATACATATAGACACAAAGTCAAAAGTGGACTGGGAAAACTGTAAGACCACTGTGCACACACGTGGACAGATGGCTTAATACCAGGGAAGCTGAAATAGGTGACATTCCTATTCTATTCCTATTCCTATGTCCAGATAAAGGTAAGATAAAGGCCATTATCAACATTATGGATCAAGACAGACAACAAGGAAAAGAAACCTGTACAAAACTTGAATTAAAATAAGAGTGACCTGAAGGGCTGTGCAATAGATACCTCAGCAGCTTTCCCATTGTAAAGTCGGAAATGGTTACAAGCCTTAAGGTTAAGAGCAATGGTGCTGTCAGGAACTTGCTGAAGATAAACAGCTAGCACTTCCTGTGACACATCATAGTAATCCAGTTTGTAATAGCATAGGGCCACATATACATTCAGAGCCAGGTATTCCCTGCAGGAAAGAGGATTAAAGAGAACATTTAAATCCCACCAGATAGTTATACTACAGAACATTAACATCAGTGGTAACAAAGCTGTCACATGTCTATACATTTTTTACAAGCATATCAAAACTCGGTTTTCTGAGAAATGCTTAGAGCTCTTAGAGCTCTAGTTTGTTAGCTAAAATTCCACAGACCCAGATTTGCATTCATTTTTTCAATGGCAAGTTTTTGAAAACTTTTGGTTTACAAATCTGGGAAATGGTAGCAACTTCACACTAAGGAAATGCACAGAACATGAGCACTGTACTTGGCCTGGCAGAATAGGATTTTGTATGCAATACATGCAGAAACATTTAATATGCACATAAAACTCTGAAAATATTTTAATGGGTCTTATTATCTTATACCAAGTACAATTATTTCAGAAAATCCTTGCTATTACAAGCTATCAAGCCAAAAGAACCAGACACAGAAATAAGACAGGCATTTGTGGAAACAGTAAATAAAAGGATAATTGTTATGAAGGTTACTCATTTAGATTTGAGTGATTGCTTCTACAGGACTTGCAAGTTAAATTCTCTTCCCCAAGCATTACATGATTTACTTGTATACATTATGATGGACTTCTCGAAGCATTCAAGAGGAGATACAGTATAAAGACAGCTATGTATTCTGGGAAAGTAATTTCTATTTTATTAAACAATACTTCCAGCTGCTTAAGAATTCAATTTGTTCCTTGCTAAATTCTAACCTAAGAACTTGCAGAATATGATAGGAAAAACCATCCACAAGTGTCATAGCTGGATAAATAGAAATGGAAATAATTTCAGACTTAAAGGAATGCAAGGAACTCTACATAAACACTAAGAACTGAACCCTTCTTAGAAAGGCTAAGAGGTGAAGAAGTCAATAATCACAAGCAGGGGTCGCCAGACTGGGCATCAGAGGGGGAAAAAGACAAAGTAGGTACATAACCATATATCATTTCAGAAGAAGTAAGTAACAAAATAAAAAAAGATCTCCGAGTGCGTTACACAAAAATATCAGTAAAAGAAAGCAACAGAGAGCAGACTTCTTTTTAAACAGGCATTTTTCAGTAATGCTTTGCAATGACAAAACGGAGGGGGCTGCAACTTGTACACATTTTGTGGTGGAAAAGGGACATAGTAATTGGGGAAAATTACTACTTTCAGAAACCAAGCAACTAAATGGAATTCAAATACCAACAGTATCAGAGACACTGCAACAAGGTTTAGAGTAGAGATGCCCACCGATTATCAAGAAGAATGCGTTTGTAGATGTCAATAGCTTCTTGGTAGTGGGACCGCATGTAGTGGATAGATGCCAAGCTAAGCTGATCTTCCGTAATATCTTGCAGATTCTGGTGAGAGCTCATCAGTTTCTTCTCATCACTGAACTAAAAAGAGCGTGACACATTCTCAGAAGAGTTCAGCAACAAAAACGTTTTAATTAGCTGGATTAGTTTTGTCCTTGCTGGCAAACAGCAGGTGATTCATATTAAACACCTGGAAAAACTCTACTACTTTAAAGTTAATTTGACCAGTAGAGAAAGCCAAATATTAAAGAGGCAGACCAGTTGGAACTAGATAAATGTGAGGCTAAAATTAAGTACACATTTTCCTTTAAGGTGTGATTTAGACATAATCACATGTCACATGCCTTGATGGATAAGAGGGGAAGAGCTGAATTAATTATTTTACAAACAGAATTTTGCAACACAAGATTTGAGTGTTATTACTCTAGCCAGCAGAAATTTTACTGTTTGTAGATCTAAATGTTACTTCTCGAGGATAGCAGAAAAATGCATGACTTGCCAACACACAAGCACTAATTTTTACAAGACTTCTTTACAGCACTAACAAATTCTCCTTCATCAGCCCCTTAAAATTCCAGTTCACCTAAATGGTTTATTTTTAAAAGCATTTCTGTATAGCACATAACACACACACAAGGATAAAAACAAGGAGTTAAACATAGCAGTTATATTTGTATTACAATAGTAAAGTTGAGGCTATTCACCTAATCGATCGACTCAAACCACTTATTGCAGTGCTTCCCTTTGCTGGTTCTGCTAATTCAACAGTAATTACGATTTTTTTCTTACACACAAATTTTATCTTATGTATTTGTTTTTCATCTATCTGCTCAGTTTTCTTCAAATCCTCTTCCTCCCTCTCTGAGCCAGTCACAAAACAACACTCCAGTATAAAGGCAAAAGAAGTTGCTTAACAGAACTAAAGGCAATGGGCTTCATAGTTTTGTAACACCCTTTATTTCCAAGACTAACCAGATGAACTTGGAATTATTCAACTTCTCTTTATCACAGACATCTGTAAGTGCCATCGCCACTACAAAAATGTCTGAAGACTTCTCTCTTAAACTTAACAGAGATTTAAGTAAACAGAATCTGACATCAAAGCTAACATTCAGGACTTATATTTTCTTTCAACTCAGTCTCTTCAGCAGCACAATACTTGTTAAGTATAACACAGGATGGTTAAAAAACAAATTTAAGGAAAGATAGCTATGTGTGGTAAGTGAAATAAGTTTTAATTGTTGAAAGTAAAGCAAATTTCACTCTATAAACAATATTACTTCTTGGATACTGAATGACTTAAGAGGATCAGTAATAGCATATAGACCATTTTGGTCAATTTGCTAAGTATAAGGCAGCTGCAAGTTAGGGAAACTTGGTACACTTCAAAGAAAAAGAAAAATAGTGTCTTACACATTTCTGATTCTATTCATTCAAGTTCCAGGTTCCTCGTGATCAAAAATACGATCAGGTTCCTGTTGTGTGACTTATGTGAAGTGCGTTGGTAAGACTTTCCTTAGGTACATGCTAAGGGCACCTATTCTGAGATCATGCTTTCACACTTACTTTCTCCTCTGCATTTTAATAAAGTAGGGTGGTTATGGAGAACTCCTGACACCACAGACATTTTCATTATTCTGCCAGGTTACCAGCATAAATTACACATTACCAAATTGAAAAGAAAACAAACGAAGCATGAGTGAAGAAAAGACATCATACCTTATGTGCCAGGTGAAAGAGTAAACGGTTCTGGAGACGACTCTTAGGTGCTGAAAGAAAAATTCAGTAAGTATCCCTGCAAAGAACAACACAAGGTGCCTCTTTTTTATTTTTAACTGTCTTTCTCAATAGATATGCATGCACCCATATTGTTTCATTAACTAACCCAAGCACAGTTCTTCACCGACACAGCCTTTGCAGGGGCTGTGTCTACCACAGAACCAGGGCAGCTTCTACCAATTTCAGAGCAGTTTAAAGGCCTTCCTGCTCCCTATCTTCATTCCCTGATGACTTATTTTGAAACCTCTGCTGAAAATAACTTTTCATTAGCCTCTGTCTTCCATGAGCCTTCACATTTTTATGAATTGCACTATAATTTCCCTGTAGGGCCTTCTGGATAATTCTCTGTTTTTTTGTGACGTGCAACACAGCATCTTATACAGAATAAAAAGCAGCAACAGATAAACTCATAATCAAGGCTCCTACAGGTCACATTTGAATTAAGTTGTGATTCATAATTATAGGAATCTTGTCAGCTTCCAGTGTATTGCAAAACCCATTGCTGCTATCATTTTGTTACGCATGCACATTATATTATACTTCTAATAGTTCTAATACTTATTCTGTCCTTAGGAACAAAAGGTATATGAAGTAATCCTACAGTCAGAGCAGATAAGAAGATTCAAACTAAGATACATGAGAGATTTAAGGGAGACAACTCCTTTCTAGAGCCACTAAAGTTCATGAAATTTCTTGCTCTAGCAGGATTAGGAATTCCATTTAACTCATTCCATATGACACATTGTTAACTGTAGAGCTTTAAGTCACTAGAGAGAGCCTTGTGCTTCACTGAGAGTGACAAAGGTCCTCGTCCAACAGAGCTCTTAATTTCTTTTGCAAGCAATCTTCCAAAAAGCCTTCCCTTGTTTCCTGTACTTTCTTTAGCCTACTCAGTTAAAAAGCACTCTCATTCTTGCTCAGACCAACCAGCTGGTAACCTATGTTCCACAGAAAGGAGGTACATGGAATCTTTACAAAAAGCAGAATGAATTACTGTGTACAGAACTGCAGAGTTAGCAAAGCAATGGCCTGTAACACAAGGCTCTAATTCTTCTGACATCCTAAACCATGAAAGAGGGCTCAAACCACCAAAACCTCTGCCCTCCCCCCTCCACAAGATAGAATTTTTTAGTAACAAGTTAGATTATTTTTTTTTTAAAGAAATTTAGGGAGAGATTTCCAGACTTCGTACTCTTTCTCCACATAGTAGGAAAACTTTGTAACACAGTGAACAATGCCAAAAGCCAGGCTCATCAGGTTGGCAGTGTAAGGCTGCCCACCTACTTCTGACAGGTACAGCAACTATTTCTCCCCTTTCCTCCTTCCCAAGCTGTGTTATTTAATCATGTTCCCAGAAAAAGAGGACAGTGAATTGTATCTTTAAAGAACTGCTGGAACAGAGAAGTCCCAAAAGGCAAAGGTGGTATGAAAGCATTCTCACAAAAGCACACCACCTTGTGAGGTATCACTAACAAAGGAACAAGTTGTTAAGAAGCTAAATGATCTCCAACCTAGGATATATTTGGGAATTCTCATTAGCCTAATTATTGAAGAACAGAAAGTTTGTCTGATCTACAATCAATATTGTATAAGCAGCTGTAGTAGCACAACCGACACAATAGTACATTCTAGAAATTATTTCATCCACCGAGTTAGAAAGAGTACTTTAATTAAATGCATGTTCTTCAAAATGTTGTCGGCAATGATACTGTGCTAACTCCACATGTGCCTCAGCATTAATTGATAGGTTTTAATATCAACATTTAGAAGGATTGCACATGGACCCCACATGTGCTTTTGTGCAAAACTGAAACCAACCACAACCACCCTTCACAATTCAAAACATTTGGTCATCAAAAACTCAAAAAATACAAGCAGGACACATTGTGGGATTTTCACTGAGAATAACATGTTGTATAATCACAGTACTATGGGTAAAGTCAGAAATGTTCCTTTTTTGACTAAGTTGGGTGGGGTTTTTTTTTGAGTGGGCTTTAGCATTAATTTTACTGTGAAATTTGTGACTTTCAAGCAATACTCCCTCAAGAATCTAAGCCGAGGAGTTGTTGTTTCACTGGTCAGCCAATGACTGCACTGCTGCCCTTGCAAACCTGGCATCTGATCTGACATCAAAATTATTATTTACTACTTGGCAAAAGCTGGAGGGTTAGTCCACATTATTTCATACCTAAAACCAGGCAAAAGACGAAACCTGAGTTCTGACGGTGTGCATGGATATATAGAGGGAGATAAAAAGTCCTGCTTCACATGACATTATATGATACTATACATTTGATATTCTTTAAAATAAGACATTTTTACTTAATGTCAGCCAGAGGAGGAGAGGGGCAAAAACCAAAAAAATATAGTCCTGTCAATAAAGTAAGCAGAACCATGGAAACATTCAATATCAGCAGTTTCTTTTCTCTCAGTGCCACATGCATTTTTTGAGGAAGACAAGGAAACATATGAACAAGGTCAGATTAATTTCCAGATAGAATTTAGTCATGCATATGGGATAAAACTGTTGTCAATCACTGGAGCAGGAAGTGATACAACTGCCTCATCAGAGATAATGATTTTTAAGGGACATTAGGCTTGTTCTTTTATTACTCTCTGCTGCTACTGAATTTCATTGTCACTTATCTATTAATGTCACAAGGAAGCACAATCTTCTTTTCCTGTCCTACTTTTTCAAGAAGATGACTGTATGCTTTTGTTTTTTAAATCAGTACTACACAATCTAGGGATCATAACAAATGTGATAACACTGCTGCATGGCAACAAACTGGATCCTGCTCCAGGTCTAGTATTTGCTTTATGCTGAAGACATCACTGAGGTAGCTGGATAGGATATATCTCTTTCCAGCTAGGAAACACACTGATATTCCTACGCTAGAATTTTTGTCATGATCAGTGCTGATGTTCCAGGCACTAAAGTCACAGTTGACACTGATCTTAGAAGTGTTCTGTATATTTTTATGTGCTGACGCTGAACAGGCACCTAGTGAAGTATTTGTTAAAATATAACCAACAGCTACAATAAGAGTGAAGGCAGTTATTTCACCAATTATTAAACAAACAGTTAAATTCACCAGAAATGGCAGCTCAGACTCTTGGTGGTTCCACAATGCTGCCACAGGCAGCTAAGATGATGAAATACAGTCATGGACAATCTGGCATTTGTGCCCTCTTGTAAGAGTGCAAGGCAATGGCGGTCATGCATCCAGCATTAACAAATCCTACCCAGCAGCCATAATGCATACGCAATAGCAGCACTTCACACATTAACGGGCATATCTTAAACATACATAGAAGATAGCTGGTAGGAATGGGACAGTGCTCAGAAGGCTCCAGCCTGACAGCACAGAAAATATGACCAGAGGAAACTTTATTCTCCTGTCCCTGAGAAACAACACCCTGCTCACTCGAGTACAGTAGCTGAATGAAGCCCTCTGTGCCTCAGAACCACAGTTTTGCTGGTGGAGGTAAAATGCAAGGATATGGGGAAAATGTTTGGAAAAACCATGGTCCGAGAGCGAGGTTCACACTTACACACCTGAATGGCTCACTGTTCAGAATTTTCTTGAATGAAATTTACAGAGGACATTCACTGACATTTTCCCGTTCCCAAAACACTTAAAAGCCAGTTCAACTACGTTCAGTTGCTTGCAATATATACACATTTCATTTCAGTCATGCCTAAGCACAGTAAGTTAAAGATCATTGAAGCAAAAAATTATCAATTATTCTTGTTCTGTAGCTTCCACTATACTTTAAAAAGCAAAACAAGAAAATAAGGTTAGTAGTTTTTAAAGTTTAAATATTTATAAGTTGGTATTTTCACTTGTGCACTTTGAAAGTTCCATATATCAAATTCTGCTGGTTCAAAACCACAGCTAAAATGCAATGAAAATGAAAGACCATTCTCAAGAAATACAGTACAAGCAGAAAGCAGATAATTTTGCATGGTGAACACACAGTGTAAAGAAAGAGAAAAACCAGCAACTTTTCCATGCCTGCTTGTAACTGCACATTTTCAATGGTGACAACTATCTGACACGTGGCAAACATTAGTACACGCATAAGCAAAACTGGTTTGGAAAATGTCATTGCTCTTACTACCCCATCTCTGTTCTGCTTTTGTACAACATTGTTTCTTCCAGTATAGGTTGTGAAATGAGAAGTATCTTTGTTCAGTTAAACCACATTCAGATCTGGCACACGCAGAGCTGTGAAGTAATTACAAAGCTTTGCCCATCAAAAATTAGAAGGGGGGAGGGGAGAACTTTAATGACTGGTTCAACAGACGACTCTTTGCATAAGTCTTAAATTTAATTGTAAAATTCTGCTTTTCTAAAAAGACGTTTTCACAACAGATTTAACTGCAGCCCCACTTATGTGCACATTTTGTGGTTTAAAAGAACACTGTTAGTTCTTGTGTTTTTCTTCACGGAGTGCAAGCAAGCCAATGGCTTCTGAGAGCACTATGCAGGCTTCTAAACCCTAGGATCAGTTGCCAGGATCACCGTGCAAGTATGCCAGGCTGAGTTTCCGGTCCTTGCCCTTTGCAAGGCACAGGAACTGGGAATGCAACATAAGATTATTTGTTTTTACAATTAAAAAATAGGAGTCGATTATACCAAGATGAAGACTTTCAGTCTCATTCTTCCAAGACTAGATAGGCTAGCACACAGCATGGAAAACACACGTTCAGCCAATGTATGAGAGCACAGTTGCAAAAGGAGTAAACGAAGCATCACTTGGCAGCTATGGGACGACTATGAAACAACAGTAGCTGACTTAAGTAACTCTACCTTCACCTCGGATCCAGCAACATTAGTAACTGTAATGTAAGGGGACAGCAGGGAAAAAGAAGCCAGAAATATCTGAAAGGAATTTGGAAGAAAGCCTAGAGAAGATATAAAGTACAACTGTAATGAAAAACCTCCAAAGAAGGACTTTTCTTTATTGCCTTTTTGCTCTGCTTCTTAGGTTGTATTTGCAGTAATTATGGTTTATATGACTTTTGATATACAGATTTATTCTTTCCTGAGAGAATGTACCATTAAGTTTTAATTAAGTAATGACAAGCTAAGAGAATGCTTCACATCTATTATAAAATAAACATAAAGCCTTGCTTCACAGGAGATTGTGGACTATATATCTTGTATGAAATGCAACAATTACCTCATGGCTTTTAATGCTAATTTCCTAATTTTTAGATATCCTGCATATTTTTCCTCAAACAGTTAATGAGAATTTTCTTAATCAACAATAACAGCACATGGCAAAAAGGAACTTCTATTTGATTTCTAGATATTTACATGTTTGTGCAGAAAATCTGTTCCAGAAAGCAAGCTGACATTTATGTTCCCTTTCACCCAGAGACTCCATCACTGTGGAAATTTAGAATTATAGCGGAAAATAAATTATTTCTCCCTCATTTTAACACTACGCTACTTTTAGGGACTTACCATAACTGCAGCAATAAAGAGCAAGCAGTATGCAAGAATTCAGGCAAAATAACCTCAAAATAGCAATGGTAAGCAGCTCAACACTAGCACTACCTATCATTTTTTCATCAGTATGAAAGGCAGTACTGGATAAACGGTGTTCTTCTAGAGATTTCACCTCTTGTGTCTATATCAAACAAAACATTTTGCTTCTTCAGGATCTCTGCAAAACCATGGAAGAAATCCCAAGCTGTTATGGCCTCAGCTGTCAATAATATATTGCAAACAGCCATCACTGATGCAATTCTAAGATGTTTTAAAAAAAAAACCTAAAAAAGGATCTGTACTGAGTGAAAATAAAATGGTTCAACATCAATGTAAGTGTCCTGGTTTGGCTGGGACAGAATCACAGGCCAGCCCTGCTAGGCAGTTTCAAGCCAGCCAGGGCAGCTGACCCAAGTTAGCTACAGGTGTAGCCCACATCATAATGTCACGGTCATTATAAAGGGAGGAGGTTGACTGATGAAGGGGAGCTCCTGTGGGATTCCTGCTGGGGTTCTGGCTGGTGTTCTGCTCCTCCTCTGGCTTCTCCCTGAGGACTGCTCTCTGAATGATTCTGATGGTTGGATACTAATTTGTCTGAGTATAACCTTGTATACCTTTGTTGATATTGGTGTTGTTTCATTAAACCTGTTTTCACTTCTACCTGCTCTCGTTTTCCTGATTCCCCTCCCTGGCTCTTATCGTTTAGCCCTGGTTACAGGCTAAATGTAGACAGTAAGAAAGACTGAAGTGATGGGAGTGGAAAGGGAAATATACAACACTTGGAAGCCTTCAAGGGAGAAAGGACAAGTGTTAGAAATCTTCAGCTGAGACTGCCTCCCCACCAAGCTTAAATAGTCAGAAATCATCAGTATTACAGTACTCACAAGAAAGGTTTAGCACCTCACTATAAAAACTGGCATGCTGTCCTTCTTAAACACTTAAAAAAAATTAGGAACTGATACCACTAGTGTGAGATCTCAGTTATTCTCTGTTCCCTCTCTCAGCTACACTCCCTATGTGTTGCACTTCTTTCTTAATATTTCTGCCCTTTCCTCCAGCACCTAAGTACCACTAACTGCACCCCCTACCCTGCCACTCACCATGCTACTCCAAACTAATCTTAAGGGGCATGAAAAAATTAACCTTCCCTCACTTACAGCTCACAGTTCATAAAGATGCATGCCCAGCTGTGTATCTGCCATCTAGAATGGATTACTGTAATTCACATGATGTGAAGCTGATGACAATGACTCCAACTGGTACAGGATGCAGCTGCTTGTTTCCCCCACGGTTTAGGTCAAAGTGACACCTCAGGCTCTATTGCCCAATTATTTTTAGATTCCAGTTCAAGTCCTACATTGTCTTCTCCAAAGCTCACATTTGTGTTACACTAAATTATTGTCTGTATATCAGAATATGTCTATATGTCTGAATATCAGAAATTTACGCACCTCTTGAACAATACAGATCTCAAAGCTCTGCCTGAAACAGTTGGAAATAAAACATTACCAGTTGTGGGATTTGAGCTCATCAGGATCTTTCAGAGGATTTTAAAGGCATATGAGAATCTAATTATTTCTAAAAAATGCTACAAAACTGTCCTTTTTGAAGGCACTCCACAGTAGTAGAAAGTACACAATTGTTTTCTCCCTACTCTATTTTCAGCCCAAGACTAGAAGACTAAAAAAAAGAAAGAAAAGAGAAACCCCATACTTCAATAAGAGTTTTAGCCTAAAAAGGCAAGAGTCAGAAGTTGACTGAGAACATCACTACTACTAATTCTACTTAGAAAGCACTAAGATACTATGGTTATGGAAAAGAATATAAATCACTAAGATAAATAGAAAGTGATGGGTAACAAAATTAAACTGCAGAAACATTTTTAGGCAGTAAAAATTGCCTTGGAATCTGATTTTCATTCCTCTTCTTTAAATGATCCATGTATGTTCAGATTAAAGTAGAACTGTAACACTGTAACTGCAGTGGACTCCACACCTTGAAGAATCGGATGCCTAATACCTGACTTAGGAGGCAACAAGACCACCTACTACGTCACACAAACTACATAAACAGTGCTCTTGTCCACATCAGGGAGAATGCTGAACTCTCTCAGATGCTTATTTTTTGATAATTTCACTAGCCTAATTAGCTTCATATGCACTGGCTCAGAGACACTGAATCAGACAAAAGAAAAGTAAGTTTTTGTTGCTGGTCAGCATATGCTGGGTTTTCTCTTCAGAAATTAATAAGAGAAATTATTTTCAGATGCTTGTTTCAGTTTCAGCTGCTCCACCTGCCCAAGGTATTTTTAGGAAGCAAACTGCATCATAACTCTCCTGTTAAATGAAAAAAACACCCAAACAAAACCACAAAACCAAAAAACTTGGCTCAAACATATCATTTATTCCTACGAAAAAAAAGCATTGAATACTTTCTCTGGAAATTACTTTAAGTGTTCCAGTCAACAAGTTGTCCTTTCCATCACAGACATACATCTCACCTCTCAAGGCTGCTTGTTCAGCTTGCGTATACATCCCCAGAAAGAAGTACGTACAGGCAAGGTTCACCCAAACATCTGGATTGCAAGTTGGTTGGTTGGTTAAGGCCTCATATTCCTGTAATAGAAGAGAGGGTTGATTTTTTAAGATTGTGTAATAGCACAGACTTGTATTAAATATCATTCTTTCTTCCACCATTCTACGAAGTATCATTATTGATATCAAACAACTTACTCTCAGGTTCACTGCAGTGCTTACAACAAAGCTATTACATTTTAACCTAAGGTATGTTCCTAGCTCTTTTTTGTTTACAGCAATAGAAGAGACAACAGGGACAAGCAGCACTATAAATCTTCTGTAGGAGCATGATTTCTGTCAATACTGAAGTTATAAATATATAAACATTTATTCATATTATTACAAATATATTATTTATATTTATAAAAATAAACATATTGAAGTTATAAAGGTATCAACATAACTAACTTTTCCTCAGTCTTTTCTATGCTTTCCTAACTTCTCCTCCAGTCAAAGCCTGGGAGCCATAAACATCAGGGAAATCTCTTTGCGAATACTCACTGGAGCAAGTGTTAAACCTGTTTTTATAAACCTGTAGGTAGTGTCTTAGTATAGATTAAAACAGTGGTCTCTGAAGTGGGGTGTGCACACCCCAGCGGTTGTGCAAGACAATACCATTGGGTGCAGGAAGAAAATTTTTATTAGTATCATTAATAACTAAAATATTTTTAAATAGTTTTTATTTCATCTTTATCTCATCCTTTTTTAATTTCTATTTTTGTGCATATTTTATAATTACATATTAGTGTAGCAGTACATGTACATAATTTATAAATATATATATGAATGTATGTATATTGAGGGAATGTGCTCAAAATTTTTTTACTGGTAAGGGTGCACGATCAAAATTGTTTGGAGACCACTGCATTATAATACAAGCCTACAAGTTGGTATTGAGCAAATTCAAGATTTCCGAATAGATAATAATTATAGTAAATATAACTAAACTACGCCAAACTTCAATATTTCCCATCTTAAGACTTGCAGCCAACAGCTATAGAAAACCACTAGATACCATATTCTGATATTCCTTACACATCCCACTAGATACCATATTCTGATATTCCTTACACATCCGAATTCATTACATATCCCTTAACACTGTCACATGAACTGCTTCATTTCTTGTTATTTGTGAAGAGTTAAAACTTAACAGATCAATCTTTTAATCTACTTTTTTAATGAAGAAAGACTTGCAGCTACTGAACAGGGATATTCTTGAAGATAAACATCTTTGCTTTGCATAACAATAGGTAACAAAACAGAGGCAGCGAGACCTCTCCATGCCATTTTTTTTCCTCTGTCGGGTTTCTGTTAAATTACTAGGAAGGACCATCCCAGTGGAAGTGCCTCCTGCTGCTCTCCATCCATCCATGTCCAACAGGCAGCATAAAGCAAAGCAGGCAGGGTCTCGCAAGGTTCTCACAAGACCTGCTGAAAGAATGCCATCCACATGCTCCCAATCACCATAAGCCTCTCATCCCTCCCAGCAACACAGCCCCTTGTCAACTCCTTACTCTTCCTCCAAACATGTGAATTGCAATTTCCCTCTGCCTAGGGAGTGTTTGTGCCACTATGGGTGGAGAACTTCTCACCTCCACAGGAAAGGCACAAATCACTAGATAAAATAAGCCAAGCTTAAAGGATAGTAAATCCCAAGAACAGAAACATGCTGACAACAATAAAGTTTATAGTTTGCAAACATAAAGAGGGTTTTTTTTTTCTGTTGCCAAGTGGAAGTAAACTGCATTCCCAAAGAGAGAGGATATTGGCAAAGTATGCCCTTAAAAGCCAGTTCAGTCTTGCTAATAATTCAGGGACTAGCCGTCCTTCAAGAGGATTTAAAATAAATACGAAAATTAAAACAAACAAACAAACAAAATTTACATAGAGGCCAACCTTTCCTACTTGATGTAGGCCTGTCATGGAGCTCTGAGAAACAGGCCACTGCTGTTTATTTGGACCATCTGGAATCTTTCAAATTCCGTTCAGATTAAATGCACCCAAAGGTCTCTTTCGCTATGGCTGCAGGCAGATTAATTAGAAAAGACAAAGTGCATAAACACAAGTCATGTTCTGGCTTGGCCATTCAAAGCAAGCAATAAATAAAGACTGCTCTAGCAGTACCAATGTGAATCTATGGAAACACAGTAAATAAAAATGAGGGCTATTAGTGCTCCTTACCCTGCAGTTCTGGGCCATGAGCCCAGACTATGTGCTGTTGCCCCTTTCCTCACTAAAAGGCATTCAATGTCAGTCTCTCAAAGACTACTTCACAAGAGCTTTCCTTCCTCCTCTCCAAAAAAACAATGAAACCAAACAAACTAAACACTCCAAAAGCTTCCCAACAGTCAATCTCTGGCGTATTTTTGCCAACTAGGAACATAACAACTTCTTGCTATTTCACTCTCCTTCACCTCTCGCCCCTATCACAAGACACATGCCCTTTTCATCAAAAGCAGGCTGCCAGGTTGATTGCCTGCAACTATGGACACCTACTGGCAATGCTGAGGCCAGCAGGATCCTGCTCAGTGCCCTTATTGCTTGTCTGGATTCTCCAAGCCCATAAACATAGACCCTGAAGAGACAATAAACAAGCCAACCTATAGGGCTGCCCCATAAGTGCTCAAAGGAGGTGTGGAGATACTAATCATAACCTGGCTACAGTCATGACAGATAAGTCTAGAGAACTTCCCCGAGACAAAAATCTATCTTTTACTTTCTAGCTTGAGTGTACCTGTATTCTCACGCTTCCAGCAGAAGTACTCAAGCAAGACCAGATACTGATCATGGATGAACCATTACCCCAGTATAGCCCAGTTCCTTTCATGATTTACTATTTGACTGAAATTATCCTGAGCAAAGTCAGGGTAGGCAGGAGCTCCTGTCCAGTGAAGAGGTGGAATGGCTCCTGATTCTCTGCTAGGAGGGAGGTGGCCGATAGGAGAGACTGTTGGATTTGCCGGCTGTAGTTTGTGAGATTTTGACAGAAACAATGCATTGAAGGCTCTGGCCTGGGGATCCTGCTTTGCTCTCACGTTTGCAGCTTATGGGCCAAGATGGCATTACCACATCTGTGGTAACAATACCAGCTGTATCACACCTGTGTGCCTCAGCCCAGTCAAAGGGTGCAGAGTGCAAATATGAAACCTGTTCTTGAACCCCACCTAGCAGTGCACCTGCCCTTGCCAATTCCTCTCTGAAATTGTCAATACCTCAAATATGTTTTATAACTTTCCCTTTCTCAGGCTCCGGCTGCTTCACTTTAGAGGATCAGGCAGCTCAGAAACAGAATCATCAGACTGATGCTCTGATTCTGGTCCTTGGATGACATTGGGAAATTTTTTAGGAAAGGTTTAAGAATAGTGCTATAAACAAGTCATGTCAGAAAGACAGGTGGGTTTTTCCTCATCAGGTATAATAGACATGGAAGACTCCAGAAAACTAATTAGATGCTGCCATCCACTAGGGAAGTTCTGGTTGCCATGTGATGCCAGGAGGCCACTAGTCACTCAGTGTTAGTAAAAATAAATTTGTCAGTGACAGAAGCTAGACAAGTCCCTAGGGAGGGACTGCCACCATGACTGCTGGAAGAGTTGAGTCCAGTGCAGTACCATTTGTAAATTGGTGTACAGCAGCAGGGATGATCATACCAGACCAATGCTAGTGGTATATCCTTTGAGAAAGGAACTACCTACCAAGAATGGGATAGTGTGACCCTAGTGAAGCTGAGGTTAGCACTCTACCTAGAGAATATCTGACTGTTGGCATGCCTATGATAAGGGAATGTGAATGTGACAGACATTTTGCTGTCATTCTCTCTGAAGATATTCGTGGAGCTAGAGGCCTGTGTGTTTTTCATTTTTACCCTGGTTCTCCCAGCAGTGGATGATGGACACCTCACCCCAACTCCCAAGGCTCTCCAAAAGCTTCCATGCAGCCAGCACATCTGGCTTACTATGAAAGTATCATTATAAATAAAAGGATTATTGAGCAGCATCATTTCTGAAGTCCCTCATAAGCTTTATGGAATACAAACATGAACTGGGAATATAGTGACACAGACTACACTTTGTCACTTGCAGGCACTTCGGAGTGTGAATCATTTAGATTGTGTGTAATGTCACTCTGGAGAATTCTGCAGAATCTTCTACCCATAGTATTTTATTTAAAGTGCTCTTGGCACTCCCCAAAGAGTCCTCCAGGATCTGGAGAGTATAGATAATCAAGGAATTTGTCCTTGAGAATACAGCAGCAATGCCTTTGTAACACAGCAGAGAAGATAGAGCATTACACTTCAACCTTGAAGCTGATAACTGAAAGATAATTCAGCCTCCGCAGTCAGCAGTCTTTCGCTCGATTACTCCAGGCTTGGGAATTATAACTAGTGTTCTGTCTGAAAAGAAACAAGGTTGAGATGCACAGGCTGATTTCCCATGTACCACCAGAGAATGACAAAGTTATTAGGACTCATCACTGTGCCAAAAATCAGTCTTAAATCTGAAAAGATAGGCACTGTGGTTCAGTCACTTAAAACACACACACAAACCGACCAACCACAAACCATGCATACAAACCTCTTATTGTCCCTACTTGGGCAGAAAAATGGGAAAAAGGCAATTATGTTGTAGCTTTTTTAAAAGCCTGAATCAACAGCATCACCTAGTGGCAAATCAAACATCCCATACAAAATGTAATCTAAATAAATAAATAAAATTGCTGTTAATCTTTCGTTGAAGGAGACATTTAAAATCTGCTCTGGCTATAAAAGCATCTACTGGGTGTTCCAAACAGTAGAATTTATTTCAAAGACATTGCAATCTACTTCTTTTTTTTAAACTTTCACTTCCTATTAACACCTAACATCCAGATAAAATTAACTACAGCAACTGATTGTTACATTCATAATCTTTAAATTCCTCAACTCTAAACACAGTTACCACTATGCCCTATAATACTATTCTACATTCTGTACTATGCATACTGTGAATTTGATTCACTGAGAATTTCTAGCATCTCCAACAGATGTTTCCTCTTCAGTTTTTTTAAGGGGGAAAGCGCCTTGTCAACTTACTTGGAAGCTTTAGAAATTCTATTTCCACCTCACCTATAAATCTTGTGCATGTGACCATCTACAACTACAGTTAAATGCCTAATTTTATCTAAAAGAGAAAAACATAATTATTGTTCTATAATCTATTTATCTATGGTTATTTTCTTTGAATTATCATCTATTCTTAATATTTCATCCAGGGAAAGCAAGTTAAAAAGCTGCAAAACCAGCTATACTTCACAGTGAATCATGATGGAGATCTCCCACAACTGACATTGACTGAAAGCAGTAAGTCTTAAATACAGCATTGTATTCACATCTGTAGGAATACAGCAATGAGACAAACAATAGTCAGGCAGATCGAGTTGTTTCCAAATCTTCACGAGCTTATATGCAGCCTTGTGGGTATCATCACATCACTCCACAACACTCCCTGTTCTGATGTGCACACTGATTCCAGCCCTCGGAGGTACAGAGCAAAGCAGACAACAGTCTTAAGACTTCTACAGAGAAATATTCTAGCACAACTGAGAAGATAAAGGGATCCCAGGGATACTGGCAACACTGGTGGATGAGAAGCTGGACATGAACCACGAACACACAATTGCAGCCTAGAAGGCCAATTGCATCCTGGGCTGCATCAAAAGAAGTGTGGCCAGCAGGTCGAGAGAGGGGATTCTGCCCCTCTACTCTGCCCTGGTGAGACCCCACCTGGAGTGCTGCATCCAGTGGAGCCCCCAACATAAGGACAAGGACCTGCTGGAGCATGTCCAGAGGAGGGCCATGAAGATGATCGGGGGCTGGAGCACCTTGCCTATGAAGACAGGTTGAGAGAGCTGGGGTTGTTCAGCCTGGAGAAGAGAAGGTGCTGGGGGGACCTTATAGCGACCTTCCAATACCTGAAAGGGGCCCATAAGAAGGCAGGGGAAGAACTGTCCACAAGGGTTTGTAGTGAAAGGACGAGGGATAACGGTTTTAAGCTAGAAAAGGGTAGATTTAGGTTGGAAATTAGGAAAGAGTTCTTTAATAAGAGGGTGATGGATCACTGAAGCAGGTCACTCAGAGAGGTAGTGGAAGCCCCATCCCTGGAGACATTTAAGGTCAGGCTTGATGAGGCTCTGAGCAACCTGACCTGGTTAGAGATGTCCCTGTTTATTGTAGGGGGGTTGGACTAGATGGCCTTTAGAGGTCCCCTCCAACCCAATACATTATGCGATTCTATGAAATTTGAGTTTCACTGGAGACACAAATGGACACAAGAGAAAGAACTGCATTTGGACTCATACAACGAGAGACACACGACAGCACCGTATGGTGCAAATATTAAAAACGTATGCGTATTTGAATAACCTGCATGTCTTTTAGTGACTTAAAACTTTTGGAGAATAAGAGTGCCTCATTTAATTGAACTACTGAATGCAAGAAAACACAGAGAAGAACAATAAAGTCCAGTAAATGTCCAGGAGCATCAGCCTCTAAAGAATTAAGAAAATATGCATGTTACAGACGAGCTATACAATGAAGACAAAGACATAATTAAACCTGAAAAGCAAAACCATGGAAAGCTAGCTGCAAAAAGGGAAGGGAAAATTTATTATGTTAACTATGACATTCAAAAGGGCAAATCAGGCTACTGAGCTTAGTATTAAATCAGACAGTAGATAACATTAAAAAAGGTCTATTTTCATAAGCAAATATCTATTTTTTCCCAACCCAAACTGCTTTCCACAGCATCTGCCTTACTACCATACATTTGTACCTTAAATGGCTGGCAGAACTGCCCCCTATTACAGAATATCTTCCTCCTGTTGTCATTGCTTTATCACAACATCCTGATTTCCAGCCTCAAGGAGGAGGATTTCCCCACCTTACCTCCAGCGCTCTCTTGTAGTCACCCAAATGAAAGGCAGAGTACCCGATCCAAAGGTCAGCATCCTCCTCCTGCTCACCCACGTGCTGTTTAAACTTTGTAGGGAAGAAAGAATGGAAGAATTTCGTCAGGATAAACTGCCTCACAGCTTATAAAGCCCCAGAGGTAATTTAAGTAACACTAGGCCACCTTACATCACGGATGGTTTGACAGCTGTGGATGCTGCTGGGGTGGAGCTTCTCTCACATTCCTGAGGGAAGCAGCAGGCAACCCTCCCATGCCAGACCTAGTTCTGTGAAGTGAGGGGAAAACCCTACACCAACAGGGCCTAACGGGTGCGGAAGGAGGCGAGGGGAC